TGTAACTCTAGCCATACCTATAGTGGCAATAAAATAAGCAGTTAGAATACAAATGCGTATCATTTTATAGCAAAGTAAAATAAGGATTCTCAAGTGACCATACAGCTCAATGGTGAGCTGTATATCTCAACTAGCATTTCAGCAGGTCAATCAAACATTAATTAACTTTTTTTTTAAATCCTAACTGAGAAGCCCTTTTCTGTTGACAGACATCTCGGGAAATTCTATTTTCAATTTGACAGAATGCCAAGTATTCAAACAGATTGTTTATCTGAATTCAGTGCTCAGAGGCTTCTGTCTGAGACGCAGAATACAGTTTTTACGTCATAGTTAGTATGAGTATGTTGTCCCACTTTAAAAATGTGTATTGCCTAGGCAGTAAAGCATTGTCAATCAAAGTTAACCTAGAACATTAATTATTTTAGTATATGCTTTTTTCTAAATTTGTCCAGGCTTTCATTTCTTCCTCATGTGCCACCAAAGGCTAAGGCAGAGACTTAAGTATCATGTATAACATACCTACCCAAGCCTTTGGAATATCAAGCTATGCTATAAATCATTTAGCAATCAGAGTCTCCGTGAAATTGTCTTAGTTTCTTTCCTTTTTTGAATTATTCTTGTTCTGAATTCCTACAGGTTTAAAAAATATTTTCTAACTAATACACATCAAGAAATGATAGACAGGCATAAAATTTGGAGTTATATCTGTGCTGGAATCCTAGTTCTTCTACTGCCTGGCTAGATAACCTCAGGCCATTGTGACAGATACTATTAATCTCTACTGATCTGTGGTTCTCTTCTTCTTCTAGGCACTAGGAGAAGACTGTGATTCTTATCACCTTGAAGATAAGAATGAACTTGAACCTATCTTTGTCTAATGAAACATGAGTAGACATGATGTGTATTGCTTTTTGGTGGGAACATTTAAGAGCCAGTGTTTGATTTTTTAGAAGCCAACATGCTTAAAAAGCAATAGGCTTTGGAATCTCCCTTAGCCTGAATAACTGGATTGCCATAATGAGGACAACTGCCCTGTAGAATCACCAGAACCTGCAGCTTTTTTTAAATGAGCAAGATAATAAACATTTATTATTTTAAGACACTTGGATTTTAGGGTTGTAATCACAGCAGAGCCTTCTCTGACCTGAAAGATACTGTAAATTACTTAAACTTGGTAGTCTTCATTTTCTCATCAGTAAAATGAGGATGAAAATACTTAACCCTCAAAAGCCTATTGTGACTATTAATTTAAGGATTTATATTTCAAATAATTTTAAAATACTGTATGTTTTATAAAGTGGTCAAATGTAGCTACAATTCTATCATTTTTTATCATTTCATAGATAGATAGAATGATAGATGGATGGATGATAGACAAGTTTGACATGAAGGCTCTGTTATCATGCCTTTTAATATTCTGAGTATTAAAAATGTCCTCATCTTTCTGAACTCTATTTTGAATGATCTACCACTTAGGAGCTATCCCTGCCCTAGAATTTCTGAAATGTTCTTCAGCCTGATTGACACTTTCAGTATGTTTAAATAAATAAAATTTGGTTTAGCCCAGTGGAAGTGTTGATTGATCCATTCATTCAGTAACTAAACAAATGTAGTTGAAAAAAAATTATGTGCAAATTAGTTCCAGGTGCATTGTCAAGTTTACTTTTACCTTTGAACAAATTTTCTACTATGTTGCCTCAGTTTCCTCACATAAAAAATAAGGGCAGTAATAAGATTTACCTTCTGCGTATTTCCTGAGTAATTCATGGTAATTTATATTTTTATAGATAGTGCTAGTGAGGATAAAAGTGAATGGAAAAAACCTACTGCTATTATGAAAGAAAATTTACTGTAAGAAAGAAATTATTCGGAGGAAATGGATACATCTGATGGTGATGTTCCAATAAATCACAGTACTTTCAAAATAGAGTATGGCTGGAGACTGGGCAAAAATACCATGGTAAATCGAAGGAAAGAAAATTTAAGAATGATACCTGACCTGTCAGACCCATTTGTGTTTGTTTTGGATCCACATACTTTTTATTTAAATATATGTTCTTCAAGCTCTGGATTTACAAATAAAAAATTTGGTCAAAACAAATTTAATATACATGTAAATATTAAAATATAATATTTTGTTCCAGATCATAAACATAAGTTAGAAGCAGAGTGTAGCTGTATGCAGAGAGAGAAAAAAGAGAGAGGTAAAATGGATAATGTAAGACAAATGTCAAAAAAAATAGAACCATATAAGACAAAATGAGCAAGAACAGTGATTAGTTTGATTGATTTAAACCTCAATTGTATCACTATTTTCACAATAATAATAATATACTACTTCAAAATTCAGTCTTATACAAATATTATCTCCATACTCACAAATATTTTTTGCTGGGGAAGCTTTGTTTCAAATTGCAAGTTTATAAGTTTGCTAGAGTTGGCAGATCAAGCCTGGGCTTACCCAGGTTTGGCTCAAGCCTGTGGGTTTAGTACAATCTGCTTTAATATTAATCAGTTCAAATTCAAAGCTCCTCAAGACATTATTTTTGTGTGTGTGTGAGAAGATAGTGCCCGCTCCCACAGAGGTGAATGGTAACACATAATACCTCTTACTTAGACCATGGCTGAGAACTGACACATGTCACATACTTCAATATTCTATTGGTTGTCAAAGGAAAAATCATATAGTTAAGACCAACATCATTGAGTTGGGGTTATGTCCTTCTTTATGTAGGTTAGGGGTCAGTGTGAATATTTGCTGAGCAATAATATAATCTACCATATGAGGCAAAACTATTATTTAAATGTGCCACCCTATATACCTGAGCATACATTCAATTTGACTCAAAAGAAAAAGAAAACTGGACAAGGTTACAAAGTATAGGGACAGAATTCACTTCAGACTCACAGTAGATAACACAATGCCACAACTATTCATTCTTGGATATGTAATAAAGGGTCTGACTCCAGGATCCTGGCAGCTTTTAAGCAACACTCCTGCCTCTTTCCCTTTGTCCCACCTCTGGATATTCCATCCATTGGCACCAGCAGAAAATTAAAACGTTTACCCCAGTTCCTCTTCCTAACTACCATTAAAAACCAGAGGCCTTTTCTCACTCTCTGAAGCTATTTTTTAATCAACTTGGAAAGCCTGCCCTACTTGCCTTAGAAAGGCTCATTGTGACATTTTTGCACCGTCTTGGTGCATCTGTGACATTATCAATCATGATATCCAAGCCAAATTTTAGATGGGGATCCCGTCTATGTCTACTGTGATTATAGCTAGTGGATTTTTGAAGTACAATCCAAGAACTACTGGGGAATTTGTTAAAAATTCAGATCCTGGATCCCTACATCAAACTAAATGAATCTGAACTCTGGGCTATGAATAAGCTCCATCAATAATATTAACACAAAATAAAATTAGAAAAAATATTGGTGAACTACTGAATTAGGTAAATCCTGTCATCTGTTCTGTTTCAATCTTTTTTGTTTTATCACATAAAAGTTAGAAGAAAGCCTTTGTGAGAAGTCTTGCACTTTTCCTCAGTACAGGAATTGTAATGATGATTTCAAATGATGAACAACACTAGTTCTACTTACCTCTTTGTAGTAGCATTTATACAATTTTACTAAATAACTACTCATAAAATCTATATTTAAAATATGTTGCCTTCAATTGATTTTAACCTCCACGAAAGAAGAAATCATGTTTTTCTTGTTTACTACAGTGTTTCTGTGTCCATCATAGTGTCTGATATATGGTAGTTCACTTAATATATACTTAATAAAAGAAAAGAACAGAAATAAGGAAAGAATGTAAGGGCATGAGAAAGAGGAATAAAGATGGAAGAAAGAAAGCAAGGAAAGAGGAAAAGAAAGGAGGAAAGGAGAAAGGAAGAAAAGAGGAAGGAAGGAAGGAAAGAGAGAGAGAAGGAATAAAGTGAAAGAGATGGAGGAAAAGAAGGAGGGAGGGAGGGAGGGAGGGAGGAAGAAGATAAAGAAAGGAAGAAGAAAGAACAGAAAGCCAACATTAGACTGTTTGAGATTTTATCTATTTAACAAAAATAGGTATAAATACATTCAGTCTTTTTCAACAGAGGCTAATATTTTTGAATAATAGTTTTGATAAGCCTACACCACATTGATATTGTTGCTGTGCTTGTATCACCTTGACTTTCATTTTCAATACTCTTTCACTCACTCAGAATACAGTGTCCTTGCATTGTAAGGACGCTGATGATGAGTCATGCAAATGTTTTTCAAACTTCAGCATATAGATCACTTCCTAAGAACGACCAGCCTTGGCCATGTAATTTCAAGTAGCTATCGACGCATGCCATATATCATCTGTTTTAGTGCTCTGCATTGAAGTTACTGCTTTCCTAGAATTTCTGCATACTTGTTTATTTACACTCCCTCAATTTCTATTCTTTCCGCTGACCGTTAATATAAGTTTCATAAGAGAGAAGAGGCATTCATTGTCTTACTTATTTCTCTATTCCTAGCACCAAAAACAGTGCCTGGAGCTCTAAGTCAATATCAATATTGAGAAAATGGATGAATGAATTAGGCAAAATAGATCATTTGTGTTTTATTAATTCAGAGTAGATTCTTAAAACTAATACCAAGAAACATCAGTTTGACAGGACTTTATAAGGGCTAAATTATTTGAACAAGACAAGTGCTTTTGAGTTTCAAATAGGCTAAGAAACTGAAGGACTTCAAAATTTGAAGTTAATTGTAAAGTCCATGTTTTACATGAGAAGTAATGCATGATAAATGAAAAATAAATGATAACGAAGTTCAATGTGAAGAATACAAGATAAATGAAGTTTTTATAACCCATAATAAAATAAAATTTAACCAGTTGGAAAGAAAAGATAACCATCAAGTAGAACATGACCAGATGATAGATCATTAAGGCCCTAATGTGTGTAGCTGACCCTGGAGGGTCCAGGATCAGCATCAAGGACCACACAGCCTCCAAAAAAAAGAACATCTTAAGTAATCCATGTTAATATCTTGGTGGGAATTGAGTAGAATTAATCTCTACAGATCATTCACTTCTTGTTCAAAGGAACAATATATGTATATTAATGTATATGTGTATGTGTGTGTGTATACATATATATATGCACCAGGGCATGAATAGCAGCCAACATCACATGCAAACAAAAATCACCAAATGTATTTTCCTGTAGCAGTGACACATATCTCCTCCCCCAAATATTTAGTTTTCTCCAGAATTCTCATTTCAACCTCTTCTTTTCAATGACCAGGCAAATATATGTGCCCTAATCTTAATGTTGAAGATTAGACACTTTAGGGAAGGGCTTTCTATCATTAATTAGGATTTAATTAAACCACTGTAAGATCTTCACAAGAGCTTAGAAAACAGTGAAACATCACTTCTACCCCTCATGCATGTTTACAAATTAGAGAAATAACAGAAGTAGATTTGATCAATTATATTAAAGCATTTCATACTCTTACTGTTAAATGCTAGCATTTGAACACACATAAGTCCTAAGGACATTGTTTTTAGATTTCTTGGCAAAAACTGGCAGAGCAAAAGCATATAAACTAGCCAAGAGGTAGGAACTCACTTGAAATTTGGTACAATAAACATCACCAAAGGAAAGAATTTGTGACTTGTGGAATCAGTGAAAGAATGGGGAAAGAAAAAGTAGCATAAGATAAAAAAGGCAACAGCAAACAAAAACACAGGAGAATGCAGAACAGAACAAACAGGTTTAATGTTTACTGATGCAAAAAAAATAAGCACATCATAAAGTTTATTTTGCTAAGAGCAGGGCCATCTGTGTCAAAGATTGTTATAGTTAATATTTTCAGTGTTTAAATATTAGGTACTTGAGTTACTTTGAAATCAACCTGTGTAGCAATAAGGGACTTTTTCTTGAGAACTTACTTATGTCATTAATTATACTACTATCTAATATGATGTTTTTTATATGCGATAATATGGCTAAATTCAAAAAGGGAGTAAAATTATGCAAATTTACTCAAATAAATATTGGTAAGCAACTGAATATTATACCTCTGCCTTAAACTTGAAAATATGTTGATGGGTCTATCATAACTGTTTGAATCAATAAATATCTAGATCATACACAAAACTGTGCTATACTTCAGACATTTTGGTGATACTTGGCCAGCAAAATAGGATTAAATCTCAATAACAAGGATGAGCCATCTTTTTAGAAACTTCAGCATTTTTTTCAAATATTAATTTTATGAATGGAATTAAAGCTACAATTCAATGTACTCCATTTATTCTAATATAAATCTCAAACTGTATTATTTGAAAGCATCTCAGCTATATCATCATAAGATTTCCAGGTATATGAAGGTCATAATTAAATATTTTAAGGAATGATCCATCTTATCACTTAGAATTGTTGATAACCATCTCCCTGATTTAACCGCGACACAGAAAACTCCAATGCCAAAAAATAAGAAAACGTTGATAAACCTTTGCTTGAACTACTGAGCAAATCTCATTAGGCAATTCCCAAATTCCTCTCTAACTCACAGGGTTAGAAAACTTAACTCTATTCATAGAGATTTCCAATTCCAGCACAGATTAAGTAATTCTTGGCACATGATGGTTTTTCCTTGGCAACACACTGAAAAAATTCAAGCCTAAAGCTCAGGTTCAATTTTTCTCAGTTGCCTCTGTGTCTCTTCAGTAATCTCAGCAGCAAAAGGCTGGCACATATCTCTATCCTATTCAATTCTCATTTCTATTACCACAGTTTCATATTTAACTTTTTAGTTTCATATTTAACTTTTTAAATTTCCTTTTTTTTAACCTTATTTCAATAACAAGACTTAGAACATATTAACAACAAAAGCAACTTTCAAATATGGAAAAGAAATGATCACATTTCTCAAAAGACACTCAAATTATTTTGCATATATTGAAATTTTGCATAAGAAAATTCATGATTAAAAGATGATTTATGCATTCAAGAAGAAGTTATAGATCAGTGCAGAATTAGAGGTTTATAATAAAAGCTCTGAAATTAGAAAGTAGCATTCCAAACCAATTCAGTATATTATAAATAAATATACCCTTGACACTTGAGCATGGGTTTGAACTGCACAGGTCTGCTAATACATGGATTTCCTTCTGCTTCTGCCACCCCAGACACAGAAAAAACAACCTCTACTATTTCTCCTCCTCTCCAGCTACTCAACATGAAGGTAATGAGGATAAAGGCCTTTATAATGATCCACTTCCACTTAATGAACACGAAATATATTTTCTCTTCCTTATGGCTTTCTTAATAACATTTACTTTGCTCTAGCTTACTTTATTGTAAGAACACCATATATAATACATGTAACATATAACACAAAAAATGTGTTAATTGATGTTATTGGTAAGGTTCCCAGTTAATGATTGGCTATTAATTTAAGTTTTTTTGAGAGTCAAAATTTATGAAGGGACTTTTAACTGGACAGGGGAGTCAGTGCCCTGAACAGCCTCATTGTTCAATAGTAAACTGTATAATTTGGTATGTTTTTACAGTGGTTGGTACAAGTTTTTCCTTTCCATATTTAGCGCTTCCTTCAGGAGCTCTTATAAGGCAAGCCTGATGTTGACAAAATCTCTCAGCATTTGCATGTCTGTAAAGGATTTTATTTCTCCTTTATATATGAAGCTTAATTTGGCTGGATATGAAATTCTGGGTTGAAAATTCTTATCTTTAAGAATCTTGAATATTGGTGCCCACTTTCTTCTGGCTCATTAACAAGGATATTCAGGACTTGAAATCAGCTCTGGACCAAGCAGATATAACAGATATCTACAGAACTCTCCACCCCAAATCAACAGAATATGTATTCTTCTCAGCACCACATCACAATTATTCTAAAATTAGCCACATAATTGGAAGTAAAATGCTCCTCAACAATACCTAATGTAGATGACCAGGTGATGGATGCAGCAAATCACCATGGCACATGTATACATTTGTAACAAACCTGCATGTTCTGCACATGTACCCCAGAACTTAAAGTATAAAATAATAATAATAATAATAATTAACATTACTTAGCAAATGCCAAAAACCAGAAATCCTAACAAACAATTCTCATTTGATAGCACTGTGGTCTGAGAGACTCCGTACTAAGAAATTCATTCAAAACCACACAACTACATGGAAACTGGACAACCTGCTCCTGATTGACCACTGGGTAAATAATGAAATTAATGCAGAAATTAATAAGTTTTTGAAACCTGTGAGAACAAAGGCACAACATAACAGAATCTGGGACACACCTAAAGCAGTGTTTATAGGGAAATTTACAGCCCTAAATGCCCACAGGAGAAAGCAAAAAAGATTTAAAATTAACACTCTAACATCACAATTAAAAGAACTAGGGAAGCAAGACCAAATTCAAAAGCTAGCAGAAGACAAGAAATAACTAAGGTCAGAGCAGACTGAAGGAGATAGAGATATAAAAAACCTTTCAAAAAAATCAATGAATCCAGCAGCTAGTATTTTGGAAACATAAACAAAATAGGTATACTGCTAGCCAGACTAATAAAGAAGAAAAGAGACAAGAGTCAAATAGACACAATAAAAATGATAAAGGGGATATCACCATTGATCCCATAGAAATACAAACTACCATCAGAGAATAGTTCTAAACATCTCTATACAAATAAACTAGAAAGTCTAGAAGAAATAGATAAATCTCTAGACTCATAGACCTTCCTAGGATTAACCAGAAAGAAGTCAAATCCCTGAATAGACTAATAACCAGTTCTGAAATAGAGGTGGTAATTAATTGAGTCTGCCAACCAAAAAAGCCCTAGGACCAGACGGATTCACAGCTGAATTCTACCAGAGGTACAGAGAGGAGCTGATACCATTGCTTCTGAAATGATTCCAAACAATAGAAAAAGAAGGACTCCTCCCTAACTCATTTTATGGGGCCAGCATCATCCTGACACAAAAACCTGGCTGAGACACAACAAAAAAAGAAAATTTCAGGCCAATATCCTTGATGAACATCGATGCAAAAGTCCTCAGTAAGATACTGGCAAAATAAATCCAGCAGGACATCAAAAAGCTTATCCAGCATGATCAAGTCAGTTTCATCCCTGGGATGCAAGGCTGGTTCAATATGCATAAATTAATAAATGTAATCCATCACATAAACAGAAGCAATGATAAAAACCACATGATTATCCAAATAGATGCAGAAAACGTCTTCAATCAAATTCAACATCACTTTATGCTAAAAACTCTCAATAAACTATATATTAATGGAACACAACTCAAAATAATAAGAGATATTTATGATAAACTGACAGCCAATATTTTACTGAATGGGCAAAGCTGGAAGCACTCACTTTGAAAACTGGCAAAAGACAAAGAGGCCCTCTCTCATCACCCCTATTCAACATAGTATTGGAAGTCCTGGCTGGGGCAATATCAGGCAAGAGAAAGAAATAAAGTATATTCAAATAGGAACAGAGGAAGTCAAATTGTCTCTGTTTGCAGATGACATGACTGCATACTCAGAAAACCCATTATCTCAGCCCAAAATCTCCTTAAGCTAATAAACAAATTCAGCAAAATCTCTGGATACAAAATCAATGTGCAAAAACCACAAGCATTTCTATACACCAATAATAGACAAACAGAGAGCCAAATCATGAGTGATCTCTGATTCACAATTGCTACAAACAGAATAAAATACCAGGAGTCCAACTTACAAGAGATGTGAAGGACCCCTTCAAGGAGAACTACAAACATTGCTCAAGGAAATAAGAGAGGACACAAACAAATGGAAAAACATTCCACACTTAAGGATAGGAAGAATTGATATCATGAAAATGGCCATACTGCCCAAAATAATTTATAGATTCAACACTATTCCCATCAAGCTACCATTGACTTTCTTCACAGAATTGGATAAAACTACATTAAGTTTCATATGGAACCAAAAAAGAGCTCAGGCAGCCAAGACAATCTAGGCAAAAATAACGAAGTTGGAGGAATCACACTACCTTACTTCAAATTATAATACAATGCTCCAGTAACCAAAGCAGAATTGCACTCATACCAAAACAAATATACAGACAAATGGAACAGAATAAAGGCATCAGAAATAGTGCTACACATCTACCACCAATTGATCTTTGTCAAACCTGACAAAAACAAGCAATGGGGTTAGGATTCCCTATTTAATAAATGGTTTGGGAAAACTGGCTAACCACATGAAGAAAACTGAAACTTGACCCGTTCTTTGTACTTTATACAAAAATTAACTCAATATAGATTAAACCCTTAAACATAAGTCCTAAAACCATGAAAACCCTAGAAGAAAACCTAGGCAATATAATTCAGCATATAGACATGGGCAAAGACTTCATGAATGAAACACTAAAAGCAATTGCAACAAAAGCCAAAATTGACAAATCAGGTCTAATTAAACTAAAGAGCTTCTACACTGCAAAAGAAACTATCATCAGAGTAAACAGGCAACCTACAGAATGAGAGAAAACATTTGCTATCTATCCATTTGACAAGGGCTAATATCCAGAATCTACAAAGAACTTAAAAAAATTTACCAGAAAAACAAACAAACAACGCCGTCAAAAAGCAGGCCAAGGATATGAACAGACACTTCTCAAAAGAAGACATTTATGCAGCCAACAAACATAAGAAAAAAAGCTCATCATCACTGGTCATTACAGAAATGCAAATCAAAACCACATTGAGATACCATGTCATGCCAGTTAGAATGGCAATTATTAAAAATAGCCAGGAAACAACTAATGCTGGAGAGGATGTGGAGAAATAGGAATGATTTTACACTGTTGGTGGGAGTGTAAATAAGTTCAACCATTTTGGAAAACAGTGTGCAATTCCTCAAGGATCTAGAACCAGAAATAACATTTGACCTAGCAATCCCATTACTGGGTATATACCCAAAGGATTATAAATCATTCTACTATAAAGACACATGCACACATATGTTTACTGCAGCACAGTTCACCATAGCAAAGACTTGGAACCAACCCAAATGCCTACCAATGATAGACCAGATAAAGAAAATGTGGCACATATACACCATGGAAAACTATGCAGCCATAAAAAACCATAGGTTCATGTCCTTTGCAGGGAAAGGGATTAAAATGTAAACCATCATTCTCAGAAAACTAACGCAGGAACAGAAAACCAAACACCACATGTTCTCACTCATAAGTGGGAGTTGAACAATGAGAACACATGGACACAGGAAGGGGAACATCACACGCCAGGGCCTGTCAGGGGGTGCAAGGTAGGGGAGATATTGCATTAGGAGAAATACCTAATATAGATGACGGGCTGATGGGTGCAGCAAACCACCATGGCACATGTATACCTGTGTAACAAACCTGCATGTTCTGCACATGCATCCCAGAACTTAAAGTATAATAATTTTTTTAAAATAGTAAACTGTGTATGATAAGGAAGAAGATTTTCAGAACTTGGAAAAAAGGAAAGTAAAACTTGGCCAGATAATCTAATATTCTCTCCACGATAGTAAGTGTTTATGCAAGTTACTTAAATATAAACATTTTATGATTCACTTAAAAATCTTAAGAAAGTCTTTATGTTACCAAATGTATTTATAGTAAACTATGTAGAAAAAACATTTCATTGATATTATTGTTTCAGTCATTTCTAACTATTTTTATTTAGTTTACATAAAGTTCTAAATTAAAATATAGAATTCTCCTCCACTGTCTTTCATAATTACAGATATTTTTATTATCTGGATGGATCTTGCCTGGTTAAATGCAATCACGTGCACAGCACCTAGGAAAAGCAAACTAGGTAAGCTGAACAATGGTGATTTAACTAAATCCATATAAATCTATATAAATGTACTAACTTCCAAAAGTATATGCTGTATTATAAGTGGACTGTTTAAAAGCTCGACTAACCTCTTGGCATTTGTGCGCTCTTAGCAGATGGTGAGCTATGTTAAAAAAGGAGTGAAGTGAATTTAATTATTGTGTGTTTCTGTGTATCACTACTTAAAATAGTAGCTCGTATGTAATGTGCTTCATATATTTTTGTTGAAGAATTAAAATATATATTGTAATTCCTCAACTGCCAAGTAGCTTTTACATTGGTAGAGCTCAAACCAAACAAGACAAATTTTAATGCTTATTTAAAATAAGACACTTCTTGGTTTTTAATTTGATTTGCTAGTACCTAAATTGATTGCCATTTAAATGGAGAAACAATACTTTCAAATATCAGTCTCTAGAGAAACAGATTTATAGAATTCTAACCAGGTGGAACTCTAAATTAAGGAGTTGAAATACTTCCATGATAGAAATATAATTCAAAACTAGTATTAACTTTTGTGTGTAACATATATTAGTGAGCTCTAAGCAATAAGTATGTCAAAAATAAATAAAGTCTAGCATCCACTGAGAGTAAAGTTATAAAAATCAACTTCATAAAAAGGGAAAAGTGTATTACATTTCTGGATATATATAAAATAATTGTTATAAAATATTATATATTTTATATTATAAAATATGGAAAACAAATAGAAAATTTATATGCAATATTTATGTCTTATCACAAATAAATAGCTCTTCTGTGTTTGAATACTCACTCATCTTGTATATTGTGTGAATCATCTCAGCATCTGCATGGCAAAAAGTATTGCGTGTTCAAATCCAAAAAGCTAATGATTGGAAAAAGACTTTAGGAGCCACTATTTGAAAGTTCAATAATGTTTTGATAGCCTTAACAGCTGATTCAGAATGCAACAGACGCTATGGAGTTGATTCAGGGTTAGAAATGTGTAACAGACATAGTGATTAGAGTAACTGCCAGGTCATTCCTGATCTGAACTCTATGTAGATATTCTGAACTCTATATAGACATATTCTGAATTAAAAGTTTGTTCAGAATAATACTTAAAGTTGTTTTTGTTATATGAAATCCATTATTAGATACCTAGCAATTTTGAATTCTATATTTGCAGAAAAGTATTCTAAATGCAAATAAAGTTTTTTTAAATAATAACCTCTTACAATTCAGTAATAAGCCCAAAATAATCCAACAAAAATGGATACACTATTTTAATAGTCACCTCGTAAAACATGACATACAAATGACAAGTAAGCACATGAAAAGATGTTTAATATCATCAGTTTGCAGGAAAATATAAAATAAAGCTATAATGCAATGTTTTTAGAAATGTATTAGAAGAACCATTAGGAAAAAGACTAATAACACATTAGACAAGGATGTAAAACAACTGGATTCTCATAAATTTCTTCTATAAATTTAAAATAACCATTTTGAAAAAATACTGCAGCAGTTTTTAAATAAAATTTAACACTTACAATCCAGAAATACGAGTTTTCAGTACTCAAGACAAATGAAAACATGCTCACATAAAGACGTATATACAAGTGTTGATAACACCTTTACTCTCAATAGCCCAAATTTGAAGTAACTAAAATTTCCAACAAGAGATATATATTTTTAAAAAACATGTGATATAATCATACAGTGAAATACTATTCACTAGTGAAAAAGAATGAACTACTCTGTGCTGAGAGAAAGTAGCTAGTTACAAGACATAAC